TACTGTGGATTATCATTCAATATTTGTATCTGTCAATAAAATGTCATCGAAGACGGCATTAACATTTATAAAGACAAAGACATTGAAGTAATTATTAATGCACCACGGAATACCACAGGTGATTATGAGTGATAATGGTCCACCATTTAATTCAAAAGAACTCCTACAATTTACTAACCAGCTAGAGATAAAAGTGACAACATTAGGTCCAACTAATGCTTAATCTAATGGGACAATAGAGCGTACAATTGGCACCGTAAAATCATTAATGATGAAAACAAGCAAAGCTGGCAGTAAATACGATGGACTATATTAGAACACAATAACACACTTAAATATAACCTAGGATCACCCTCAGAGCTACTAATGGGAAGCCACCAAAACAATTTTCTACCAATACCGAGAGATCTACTAAAACCAAAATTTGACACAGAACATACCGTGGAAGACCTAAGACATCTTCAAGAATGTCAGGGAAATATTCACATACTTTGATTTTCTTTTACTATACGGAGAATGGTCGCACTGCGCAGCTTTCTGAGTGCCTTTTGAAAGGAGATTGAAAACTCCGCCATTTTGAACCTTTATTACGTGTTGCCTATACAGGGTGTTTATTAATTGAGTGCCGATACTTAAATGTGTGAATCCTTGGGTGATTTTAAGAAGAAAAGATAATATCAACATATGTCGTAAATCTCTTAATATTTGAGCTACAGTGTGTTACAGTTTTAAGAAAAAAATATTTTTTTTTTTCATAATTTTCTTATCACTGCAGATATTTCTATGAAATTTTGTAAACACCTTTTAATCATTAAGGAGCATTTTTTGACGCATAAGATTTTTTTAAATTTTTACCAGTGACTTCCGTACGGGGTTTGAACTAAATATTTTTGAAGAAAAAAATGGTACGCCACTGCTTTTTCTAAAATCCAAAATTATTTTGAAATATTCATTTATTTTTGAGAAAATTTGGCCCATGGACTTGCTTTCGTATGATGCACTGTGTTAGCGTAAAAAAATAAAAATCAATTTTTTTTTCTTAAGCTGCTTTTGATTTTTTGTTGAAATTTGGTAGGCACCCACCATGCGTGAAAACACTTATTTTGGGGTAAAAATTAATTTTCTACTTCCACCAGTGACGGCCACGTAGGCATCATATTGAATGTTTGGATAGAAAAAAAAAACGTACACCTCTGATTTTTTAAAATTCTTTGTATTTTAAAAATCGGGATTTATTTATAGTAAAATGAAAATTCAAAATCTTGAATCTAAAACGAAATTACAAGAGAATACAAACAAAATAAAGAACCCAAATTATTTACAGTAATTGTTGGAAGTGTCCTCCACCCACACGTATGCAAGCATCTACTCTTCTTCGCATAGACTGACGCACATTTTCAAAGATTCCTGGGGTGTTTCTTATGGTTTGACTGTTATACGATTTCGTAACTCTTCTTCGGTTTGAATCGGCACTGCGTACACTAAGCTTTTCAGATGCCCCCAGAAAAAGAAGTCTAAACTATTAAGGTCGGGAGATCTAGGCGGCCATGACTGCGTTCCTTCGCGACCTTTCCACCGATTGCGATAGGTGTGATTTAAAAATTCACGCACTCGTAAGCTAAAATGTGGAGGCTCACCATCGTGCATTAGCCACATCTGGTTTCTTAATAAAAGAGGATGGTCTTCAAGCATTGGCGGCAGATCATCTTCAAGGCAGTGTAAATATGATTGTCAATCAAGTCTTCTTGAGAGAAAAAATGGACCTATCAAATAGTCATCAATAATGCCAGCCCAAACATTTAATGAGAACTGTTCTTGATGATTTGACTCAACAATTGCATAAGGGTTTTCATCCGCCCATAAATGGTTATTATGGAAATTTATTATTGAGTTTCGAGAAAAATTAGCTTCATCGGTAAAAAGAATGTGCCTGTCAAATAATGGATTTTCCAGCAGGTTTTGAAGAAACCACTCACAGAAATAAATGCGCAACGGGAAATCTCTAGGGAGTAATGCCTGGACTCTTTGAATGTGATATGGGTATAACAAATTTTCGATGAGAATTTTCCAAACAAGTACATGTGAAACATTAAATGTTGACGCGATTCTCCTCGTGCTAGTTTCGGGGTTCACCTCAATTTCATGTAAAATTCCTTCTTCAAGTTCCGGTGTTCTTACTGTTTGATGGACTCCTTTAGCCCTGTGGTCTACTTTTAAAGTTCCGGTCTCGTGAAGACGTCTATGAATCCTAGAAAATGTTCTCGGATCGGATAGTACGCGATTTGGATACCGCTCTTGGTATATCCGTCTGGCTTCGTATGCATTTTCGTCTGCAAGCCCTAAAATGCATGTCAGCTAATTCTCTGTTCGTAAAATTTACCATTTTTTTTTAGATTTTAATTCTTACTCTAATAATAATAATTTAATAATGTAAAATCAATGTCAACTTTATTGTCTTTATGAAAAGAAACGTCAAAAATGATGACGCTTTACCTAGCCTACTAATGTTTATTTCATTTGCTTTAAGAGGGCAATAATGCGCTTACTATTTTTTTCTATTCAAAACGTAGAAAATTAATTTTTGTCCCAAAAAAAATGTTTCCACGCATGGTGGGTGCCTACCAGATTTCAACAAAATATCAAAAGCAGTAGGTATCAATGAATTTAAGGAAAAAATTTGACCAACCACTACAATGGTTTTTATTTTTTTACGCGAAAACGGTGCATCGTACGAAAGTAAGTCTATGAGCCAAGTTTGCTCCAAAGTAAATGATGATTTTAAAAATAATTTTGGTTTTCAGAAAAAGCAGTGGCGTACATTTTTTTTCTTTAAAAATATTCAGTTCAAACCCCGTACGGACGTCACTGGTAAAAATTTAAAAAAATCTTACACGTCAAAAAATTTTATAGAAATATCTGGAGTGATAAAAAAATTATGATAAAAAATTAATTTTTTTCTTAAAACTGTAACACCCTGTAGCTCAAAAATTAAGAGAGTTACGACATATGATATTAACTTTTCTTCTTAAAATCATCTAAGGATTCACACCCTTATGTATCGGCACTCAATTAATAAACACCCTGTATATTGGCGAAATATTTTTAAAAGGTGCGTTTTAATTATCCGCTTCTGCTTCGGAATTGTCAGTTTTCTTATTTTAATCTGACAGGTTAAAACGACTAAACCGACAATTCCGGAAGCAGAAGCGGATGATTAAAACGCACCTGATATTTTGCTTGCTGTTGTCAGTATCAGTGATTATTATTTTTGGAGTCACAGTTTATTGCTAAAGAATCAGTTAGCTCACTCGGACCAGTTGAAAGTTCCAAAATAACATCCACTTCAGGGATACAAATTCAGGATACCCAGAAGACTGCTGTTTTATTATAGGCAGTTCTCATATATTGTATTATCCGAGTTGCACAGTGTATAAACTGGAACATTGAAATCAAAAGTGCTGACGCAGAGTAAGCGATCTGATTCTTTATCTGTAAACTGTGTCATAGGAATCAAAATGGCCGCGCCCTATGTTGGGCGTGTCGGACCTCTCTCTTGCCCTGTATAGTAATCAAAGTATGTGGAAATATCAGAGTCAAAATAAACAACTGACTGAACTAAATCCAGGACAAAAATTTTTGTACAAAAAGGTATACGAGATTGGACTTCAGAAATAGTGAACCAGAAAGCTGACGAACCACAATCATACAAAATTCAACTCGTGGATGGGGGCGAAATCGGGAGGAACAGGATACACAATCGCCCACACCTGAAAAGGAAACAAATAATACACCATCATTAGAAACCACACCTGAACCGACACCAAAAAAGAAAAGAGAAGCATTCACCCTTGAAAGATTATATTTTGGAATAAAAAAAAAGAAAGAAAAGGGAAACATGTAACATAAGCATTAGTTAGTAGTTCATGCTTAACCTTTATACCATGAACCTTGAGTTCCATTTTGTCATCTGTTATGTCATATATCATAAATGATATACGCCATCCTATTTTGTATCGACTTGACTCAACGAAATAAAAATAAAGACTCCGTTTTAAATGTTATTTAATAGTTTCATTTAATTACAACTATAAGTATGTAACAGATACCTTTAAACAAGCCTTTATGAAAGGGGTCTCTTATGGATTAAATAATCCAACAGTAAAAGAAAATCGTTTAACAATAACCCACATAGAAAGTACCAATGGATTTTTACCAGATGGTTTAATGATTGAGTCAAATAAAACAAGACTACCCCTAATAACACCAATCTGCCAGAAACATCTGATTTAGGTTCAATGTATGTTTCTATGTTTTTGACATAAATAGTACGTCCCTACGATGTCTCTAAAGAAACGTTTCTGGAATGATTTATTAAGAACGTTTTAGAAACATCGTAATTATGTTTCAGGTATTCTATTTTTGTATTAAATATTTTGAAATATCAATAAATTATAAAATTACTGGAATCACCAGAAGTCTTTTAAGTACTTTTAATGCCAAGAGATTAAAAAAAGTTAAATCCCATTAACAAAATATAATCCTACTTCTTATTTATTGGTTAAATTTAATTCGTTCAACGTTAAAGTGTACCAAATTTGTCAGAGGCGTTTATTTTAATGTTTTTGTTAATATTGTAACTTTTTCCATTCAAAATTTATTAAGTGTAAAGGTTAAAGAAAAGGTCCTTTATTTCTCACAAGTCAATTTATTGGCGACCGGTCGCCAATAAATTGACTTGTGAGAAATAAAGGACCTTTTCTTTAACCTTTACACTTAATCCCTACTACTCACATATGGCTACCCTCACTCCAAATCAAAATTTATTCTACGAAGTGCGTATATACCATTTTATATGCCGTAATCTTATTTATATTATAGAAACGCCTATGGAATGTGACGTTATGTTTCCACTTTGTTTCAGACTATACGAGTAGTAGAATATACTGATATGATTAATGTTTTAATATGTACATGTATTTCAATAACTCCCTGTATTTTAGATATACCTGGTCTACTTCTTCAAACTAGTTTAATAGATGTCAACGTAAGTCTCAGCATTACTGCAAACATTAACATGAGAGATGAAAATAAAAGCGAAGCTGGAAATGAACTGAAAAATTTGTATACTAACTCTTCATTTGTTTCAAGTCAATCAGGTTCCATCAATGTAAGTTATTAAACAAAATTAAAATATATTTACTTTAAAAACGTATTTTCTAGTACATGAGTGACTGTTTATTTACCACACCAATCGCAAGGCATGCTTTTTTGCAATCTCGATACACAGACGTTTATTTCTACCAATTCTCCTATTACGGAATCTTGGGCAGATATGAATTTAACGATATTAAAGGTATGCAAATCTATAAACTATTTAATTTTTATTATTTTTTTATTTATAAGTTCGATTAAAGCCAACTCCACATACTATATCACATTCAGTATTGTTCTAACATCGTCAGTTCACAAACTGAGCCAATATCATTATGTTTGTACCTGAGCTCTAAAAACTACATTTGGTCATTAGTGCAGGTCATGGTTTATAAAAAAATTAAACAATGTTTAATGAAAACACGCTTAGCACAGATTCTTAGTACTGTGACGAAAGTCTAATTTATTTAAAGTTTATTTATTTAAAAACACACTATTTACAATTTATTTCAGACGTACTATTTAATTTATGTAATATTTAGACACTACCTAACAATTCTAATTTATTTCTTATACTTTAACTTTTCAATACAATGTTCTACATTAAACTAAACTCGGCGCTGATACGTCGACTATTTATATTAATCCAACTCCGCTACTGGAAGATACGGGAGACTCTCGAACATTTCTTTTGTTGTAGTCAAAAGTGTTTGGGCGCTTAGTACTTAATATAACCTTCTTTTTGTTTATCATAGTATGTAAAAATAATGTTATCAGATATAATTTGATATAAGTTGTCAATAAAAGTTAAAAAGGAAAAAAGTTCATTTTTGCCAATAATAAGTGTTTATCCAAACATTTTGGTCCTTTCGAGCGCTTGTAGAGTCATTTTAGTCCCCGTAGCTCTCATTTTGGCCGAGAGAAAAGTGCGAAACTAAAATGTTTCACAAAGAGGGTGCCGTCAGAAGATCCAGCAGGGTTACTGCAGGAATACCGCCATTGAGATATCCGGACAGTCCATACGAACAAAGTGCAAAAGCGTCGACGAAGTCCAAAAGGTCCATATATTCAATGACCAGTGAGAAATTAAAAGAAATAGAATTAAAAAAGTTAGAAGCCATAAACCAGCTGCAGCGAGAGGAAGACCAGCTGCAGCGAGAAGAAGATTTAAAAGAGATAGAATTTCAGAAATAAGAACAGGAGATACGGAGAAAGTTTGAACGAAGAGAATATGAAAGAAAGTTAAGTATTATAGAAGCGAAAGCATCAATAGAAGCCGAAAAGATAATAGAAAATAGTATAAATAGCACTGGTGTTAAAAGTAATAGCTCTAAAGTTTCCATTAAATCAAATGAAAGACTAAAATATACTGAAATACCATGTGCCCATGAAAAAGTTAGAACTTAGTTAGAAGCCGATGAATTATCACATAAAGAATCTCTTATATTTTATTGAAAAAAGTCCAAAAATTATTCAACTTGAACCTAAAAATACTGCTAATCTTACTAATCCTGTCGATTCAACATCTGAGCGCCTGATGAAGGAGTTTACGACTGCAACTCAGGCCATGACAAATGCGTTTAGAGGTCTATCTGAAAATAATCAACTGAGAAATATATCTAAACTGCCTTTAAGAAATGTTCTTGGGAAAGAGCTTCCTAACTTTGGGGGCAACGTCGAGGAATGGCCCATGTTTATTTCGCTATTCAAAAGGTCAACAGAAACTTGTGGGTTTACCGATGAAGAAAATATGATTCGTTTGCAAAAATCACTAAAACATGAAGCCTTCGAAGCAGTAAAGTCATTATTTGTTTCTCCAGATAACTTAAAATGTACCCTTAACACTCTAGAGATGAGATTTGGTCGCCCTGAATACATAATAGAATCGATGATAAATAAAGTCAAACAATTACCTCCAGTAAATAGTCGCTATCCACTATCGTTCATTAAATTTTCAAATGCTGTTCAAAATCTTTCTATTACGGCTCAGTCGTTAAAAATGGAACCCTATATCAACAACCCTCAACTTATTAGTGCCTTCATTTCAAAATTGCCAGAGCACCTACAATTTCAGTGGGCAAGAGTTGTAAAGGGCCAGCAAATTAATATGCCAACACTAATCGAATTTTCTGAATGGCTCTATGAAGAATCGTCGGCAGCTAGTTTATTATGCAAACCTTTATCTTCAAACTTCATGCAAGAAAAATATCAAGAACGAAAAACCAGAAATACAGTTTTTGTTGGATCAGAAGATTCAAATAAACAGCAGTGTATATATTGTATAAAGCCTAGTCATAAAATTTATAAATGTAAAAGCTTCCTAGCTCTGAATATAGACAAAAGATGGGAGTGGGTAAAGGAACAAAAAATCTGCTTTTCCTGTCTTGCTGCTTCTCATATTTTATATGATTGCACTAAAAAGAGAAAGTGCGGGATATCAGATTGCAAAAAGTACCACAATCGTTTATTACATACCAGTTCTTCCAGAAATCAGGATATATTACCGAATCAATTACATAATTTACTGCACCAAGATGTTCAGCCAGAACAGTTAAATAATGAAAATAAACCCGTCCATTTATCAGTCATTATGAATGAACATTCTCTTCAAATACAGTCTGTAGCAAAAACTGTCCTCCTTCGAATTTTGCCTGTTACCGTGATAGGAAATAAAACATCCATTAAAACTTTCGCTCTTTTTGATGAAGGCAGCACGATCACACTCATGGATAGTAGTCTTGCTGAAGAAGTGGGAGTAGAAGGTAACATCGATTCTTTGAAGATGTTTTGGACAAACTCAACATCATTTACAGACAACCTTTCAAGAAGAATAAATGTAAAAATTCAGGGAAACCTTAATAACAGCATTTATGAACTTTCTAATGTTCGTACTGTATCGAATTTAAATCTGCCCACTCAGTCTATAAACGTTCTAAAACTTTCAACAAAATGGCCTCATCTTTCACAAGTTCCCATTGCTGATATGCTGCAAGCTAAACCATTATTACTAATCGGGCAAGATCATATCGATCTAACCATTGCTAGAGAGGTAATTCAAGGTCCAGCAAATGCCCCAGTTGTCTCCAGAACCAAATTAGGGTGGGTAATTCATGGTAACCTATCCTACATCAAACACAGAATCCAGCCTGAATTTTCTATGCACTGTTATAATAAAAACGATAACGAAATCAAAGAACTAGAAGATCTAATACGACAAAGTCTAATTATTGATAATTTAGGCATTAGCAATGAAGACAAAAAAGTATTGTCCGATGATGACAAAAAAGGTTTTTTGATTATGGAAAAAACCTGCAAACAGTTAGAAAATGGCCATTGGGAAATTGGTTTACTATGGAAAAAAAAATCCCCAGCTGCCAGAAAACCGAAGTTTTGCTTCAAAAAGATTGTATACTATCGAAAGACAAATGGACAAAGACGACTTATTTGCAAAAAAATACTGCCAACAAATAGATGCATTTATAAGAAAAGGTTATGCCAGAATCCTTACTGCCGAAGAAGCTGCGGTTGCCACGAACAAAACTTGATATTTACCACATTTTGCAGTTAAGCATCCCAGCAAGCCCGAAAAATTTCGCATTGTTTTTGACGCCAGAGCCAAAGTAGAGGAAACCAATTTAAATCAAAATTTGTTCAGAGGTCCTGATTTGTTAAATTCTTTAATAGATATTTTATTCAATTTTCGCCAAAATCCAGTAGCTGTGTTGGGTGATATCGAGGAAATGTTTCTCCAAGTACAAATAATACCTGAAGATCAATTTTCTCAACGATTTCTGTTGAGGGGAAGAGATAGAAAAGGTCCTGTGCTTACTTACCAAATGCAAGTTATGATTTTCGGTGCAATTTGTTCTCCAAGCTGCGCAATTTACATTATTAACAAAAACGTCAAAAAATATGCAAAAGAATATCGTCAAGCGGTAGAAGCAATTGGAAAATTCCACTATATGGATGATTACTTGGATAGTTTTGAAACAGAGGAACACGCCATAAAAACAGTTAATGAAGTCATTAATATTCATAACCGTGGAGGGTTTAAAATGAGAAGCTGGCTTAGTAATTCTCCCATAGTTATGAAGCACATTCCTGCTGAACTACGATCTAAGAGTATTGTCGATTTAGATTTAGAAAAATGGCCAACATTGGAGAAGACGCTAGGTTTAAACTGGAATCTAAAAGAGGATTCATTTAGTTTTTCTGACAGATTTTTAATCAAAAACAAAGACTTGTTATCAGATACCACTATACCTACGAAAAGACAAGTCATAAGAGTCGTAATGTCCATCTATGACCCACTTGGTTTCCTCGCTGCCTTTACAATTCAAGCTAGAATATTGATGCAAGAAGTTTGGTCAGAAAAAATTGACTGGGATCAAAAACTTAGTCTTGAATTATATGAAAAATGGAAGTCCTGGGTAATGGCGCTTCATAAAGTCAAAAATTTAAAAGTTCCTCGATGGTATGGTGTAAGAAGCCCTACTGTAAGCGATATCCAGTTACACACTTTTAATGACGGAAGTGAGAAAGGGTATGCTTCTGTTTCATACTTTCGTATAGTAGCTTCAGATGGTAAAATTTCCACATGTTTTGTAATGGCCAAATCTAGAGTAAGCAGCCTTAGGACTATGACCATCCCAAAAATCGAGCTTCAGTCAGCACTTCTCGGGTCAAGATTAGCAAAAACCATCAAATCTGGACATAGAATTAAAATTAGCAGAATGTATTTTTGGTCTGATTCAAAGATTTTACTAAGTTGGATACAGTCAAATCCAAGAAATTATAAAACCTTTGTAGCAAACAGAATTAGTGAAATTTTGGACTTAACTAACCCCGAAGATTGGCGCTGGCTTCCTACAAAATTAAATAAAGCCGATGTTGCTACTAGAGGATTATTTGATATTAACAATTTCGAAATATGGCTTCGTGGTCCTGAATTTCTAGCATTGGAAGAAAACCACTGGCCTAAAGATGAAACAAAAAATAAAATAGATACTGATGTCGAGAAGAAAAATAAAACAGTTCTTTTTGTGCTGACTAAGGACACAAAAATTTTTGATTTTTCTAGATTTTCAAGTTATTTACGCCTTGTGAGATCCGCTTCCTGGGTCTTGAAGTTTATCTACATCTGCAAGAATCGACAACTATTAAATAATACTGAGAAGCTTTCTAGAGAGATCACGGTAGAAG